GATCCTAGAAGTCCATAAGAGTTTTTCCAAAGTCGTCAATGTCTGAGATGCTAGAGATATACTCAGAGCAGCTAGCCCTTCCCGCTGCTCCATCACTGTGGTGACACTCTATTTTTAGCATGCTAATGGGAAGGGAGCTAGTGCAAATATATCTCCTTGAGCTGTGAGTCACTCTACCTCTCCTCCCATCATCCCTGCTCAAAGAGTAGACTTATCCTAAAAATGACATATTTCAATTTAATTTAAATATGTTCCTAATTGGCTTAAACTAAACTGAAATAACTAATTTAAATTAAAACCTGTGTCGATGCAGCCTGTTACACCAGTCTTACAAATTGGCTTTAAAATAAAACCTCAAGGGCTTGTTTTCATTACCGGCTGGATCAACGGGGCATCAATTGATCCAGTGAGAGTCAATTTAACAAGTCTAGTATAGACCCGATAAATCGACCAACAATTGCTCTCCTGTTGACTCTGGTACTCCACTTCAATATTTCTTCATGCGACTCATAATCAACCTGTGGAACTCCTTGCCAGAGAATGTTGTGAACAACAGGATTTAACAGAGTTCAAAAAATAACTAGATAATTTCATGGACAATACATCCATCAATGGTTATTAGCCAGGTTTATCAGAGGCTGGGAATGAGTGATGGGAAGGATCACTTGATAATTACCTGTTCTGTTCATTTCCTCTGGGGCAGCTGGCATTGGACGTTTGCTCTGACCCAATATGGCCATTCTCATGTTCTTATGTTCTTATAAGATGCGCAAAGGGGAGTTGATAAGAGAACGTCTCCTGTCAAGTATCAGAGGGGTAGTCGTGTTAGTCTGGATCTGCAAAAGCAACAAGGAGTCCTGTGGCACCCTATAGACTAACAGATGTATTGGAGCATAAGCTTTCATGGGCAAAGACCCACTTTGTCAGATGCATGTAGTGGAAATTTCCAGAGACAGGTATAAATATGCAGGCCAGAATAAGGCTAGAGATAAGGAGGTTAATTCAGTCAAGGAGGGTGAGGCTCACTTCTAGCAGCTGATCTGGAGCTGTGAACACCAAGGGTATGTCTACACTACATGGTCGATGGAGCCATGTAGATGAGCTTTGTAGACATAGCAAAATGAAGCGGCGATTTAAATAATCGCCACTTCATTTACATCAAAATGAATAAATGAGCTGTGCTGATCAGCTGTTTGTCAGCTCAGCGCGGTAGTCTGGACACTCGGCGATGGACATCAAAAGCCTTTGTCGACTGCCCCGGTAAACCTCATCTCACGAGGCATAATAGGGAGGTTATTATTTAAATCACCGCTTCATTTTGCTATGTCTACAAAGCTCATCTACATGGCTCCGTTTACGAAGCCATGTAGTGTAGACATATCCCAAGAGAGGAGAAACTGCTTTTGTACTTGGCTAGCCATTCACAGTCTTTGTTTAATCCTAAAATGATGGTGTCAAATTTGCAGATGAACTGTAGCTCAGCAGTTTCTCTTTGAAGTCTGGTCTTGAAGTTTTGTTGCTGCAGGATGGCTACCTTTAAATCTGCTACTGTGTGTCCTGGGAGATTATCAATATATCTCATCAAAGACACCGTGGTAAGTAGATCTAAGTATGTGGACTTCAGCTAAACTATTCATGTAGCTGAAATTGCATAACTTAGATCGATCTCCCCCACAGTGTCAACAAGCCTTACATAATGGTGCACTCAGTCTCCCAGAAACATGCTCGCCAAGTATGTGTGTCCAGTAGGCAACATAGGAATGTGTTACACTCACAGAACACAAAGACATGAATTAGTTAACCCGCACTTCAACCTTGTGGCTGCAAAAAGCAAGTTTCTTCACCTCTTTTTACAAAAAGGGAAACTCAGTATGGTTACTACCTTTCAATAATTTGCGTTAGGCCACAGAAGGAATCCATGCAAAGCTCAGACCACACAAAAATTCAGTTGATTTTGTTTACTCAAAGTGGACAAGCATCTTATGCCAGTAAAAGGAATTTTTTTGCTGCTACAACAAGAAAAACCCCAAACCACCTCCCCAAAACACCCCACCCCAAAATGCTCACTAACATGGCCCCAACTGAGAAGGAAAATGACACTCCATTCCCTTTGCACACCAGAGCCTAGGGGGGCCCAGACTAGTAGGTTTTGTGTGCTACAGCCCTGTGGTGGAATGGCTGGGGAGCTGGGGCACCAGAACTGGCTCCCCAGTGCTGAGGGAAGTCCTCAGCCTCAGGAGACCAATCCTGGCAATCCAAGGGCCACATCTGTCTCCCAGGCCTTAGGTTCCCCACCCTGTTATACAAGGTTCCCAAACAAAGTAAGCTATATCAGCAAAAGGACATTTTTGCCAGTATATCTGTATCTAAATCAGGAATTTTGCCTGCATATTAGTCAACTGGGGTATGATATTTTTTTCACATTCCTAATTGATGGAGCTATGCTAGCAAAAGTTTTAAGTGAAGGCCAAGTCTGGCTCCTATAGTTTCAAGTAGCTAACAATGAGGCCTTTTATGTACTGTTTCTAAATATTAATAGACTTCAGCTAGTTTTTAGATAATTGATGAAGTTTTCCTTGGACAGCCATCCTGCCTCTCCAGAAAGGAGGCAGCATGGGGGTAGATGGCTTGGTAGTCACCACATTAAGGACATTAAATACAACGTGGCAGAAGTATGTGGATGTACATGTGTGTGAGAGAAAAACAGTAAGAAAGAGAGAAAAGATACTATTTTATCTTCTGTTTTCTACGCAGTGCTTTAAGATTATTTTCTTGTTGGCTATGTCTTCTAATTAAATTTCACTGTGCCCTGAAAATGGCTTGTTGCCTGAATGAGGAATTTGAGAGTGTAGTGTCAAAAAATCTTGTGATGAACTCTGGTTCTGAGGTTGCAGGTGGTGTACATTGAGTCCCAGTTTTATGCTAGCCATTAGATTTGTAAACTTCTCATGTTATGATTTATTTGTTTAGAATCAAGTGATATTATTTAGAGGTAAATGTTTAAATACTGAGGCACATTCGTGCGTGTGTGTGTGTGTGTGAGAGAGAGAGAGAGAGAAATCCTTTAAAACCTAGGACCAATATTAAAAAGACTCATCTTCTCCCTAGATTTTAGCTCATTACTGTAGTACAGATGCATGAGTTCTGGGTCCATTTAATCAATGGACTTTAGCTATTGATTACAAGGGGAGCAGGAAAATCCAGTCCCAGAGAATCCATTACCTTTATTTGATTCTGATCTTTCATACAGTCATGTCTTCTGTATTCAAACCCATATGGATATGCCTTTGATAATTTTTTAAACTGGAACTGGATTTAATATTTTAAGGACTTCATTCCTCTGGTTTTTGTTTGTTTGTTTATTTGTTTGGTATGTTTATATGGGAAAAATGCTCCAAACAATTAATTTGAAATGATGATGTATTCATGACACTAAGGTAAAACTGTACTATCCAGTGCCCTCTGGAGTGGGACTTGACTCTTACACTGGCACCTAGCATAATGGGCTCAAGTTAAGATTGGCACCTTAGGGAACTACCATAGTTCAAATAAATTGATGCATATTTTTGTTCTTAAGAAGATATTATTATTAATTTTGTTGTTGTTTGTTGTTGTCTTTGTGTTATTGTTATTATTATTATATGCATATACAGTTCCTAGGGCAGTGGGTGGGTGTCAGATAAGTGCTTCGGTGCTTCCATAATAGAACTAATAATTAATATGTAAGCAACACCAAGACAGTTACTTATATTTTGTGGCTGTGTTGAGCTATATCTTACTGAGCAGGTCACTTTCTATGTCTAGACTACGGGGAAGATTTGAAAGAGAATATGCAAATTCCATGGGAATTTGCATATCTTCTCAGCCATTTAAATTTAAATGAAGCAGCGATTATTTAAATCGCCGCTTCATTTTCCTATGCCGAGTAGCCTAATCTACATGCCTTTGTCGCCAGAGGCATGTAGTCTAGACGTACCCTCTATCTCTAAAGCTGGACTAAAGGTGATACTGCTTTTTGGAAATTAGATAGATGCCGATAGACAAAACAATAGATCCAATGTTGCATTCGGGCTTACTTGTATGTGGAGAAACTCAACTCTGTATCTGTGTATTCAGAGATCTTTTTCATCACATATCATTTTGTGCAACGGGCAGAAAAAAACAACTGAAAAAAATGGACAAGATATTAAAACACCAAGGTTATGTCTACACTGGCATGATTTTGTGCAAGAACTCTTTTGCAGAAGAGTTCCTGTGCAAAAACTCTTCCAGAAGAGAGCGTCTACACTGGCATGTGCCTTTGCGCAAGAGCATCCATGCCCGTGTAGATGCTCTCTTGCGCAAGAAAGCTCTGATGGCCATTTTAACCTTAGGGCTTTCTTGCGCAAGAAATTCATGTTGCCTGTCTACACTGGCCTCTTGCGCAAGAACAGTTGCAAAAAGGGTTTCTTCCTGAGTGGGAGCATCATAGTTCTTGTGCAAGAAGCCCTGATTTTATACATTAGAATGTCAGTTTACTTGTGCAAGAACTCGCGGCCAGTGAGCGGCCACTTTGGCGCAAGCTCATGCTAGTGTAGACACAGCCCCAAAGGTATAGAGGGCTGCAGCTACTGCTGAGTACTCAACACTTTTGAAAACCAGGCTTCTTGATCAGGGGCAAAAATATAGCTGTTTATTCAGGTGTACCCATTTTTTAAAATCTCTGCCAGCATGTTTTCAGAAAGCAATACAAATGACTGATAGTTTTTGTAGACTAAATAGTACTGTTGTGTGTTATTCAATCGATATTTGAATGATGATGTGTATAATTCCTAATTAACATAATCTGTACATTTTAAATCCACTTGCATAGGAAAGTAAGTATTACATATTGCCCAGAATTGGTCTCAGAATATAGAAGATATGTAACATGGTATGTCTACTGATTTAGCTAATTAATTTCTCTCTCTCTCTCTCTCTCTCTCTCTCTCTCTCTTTCTCTCTCTCTCTTTCACCTGCAGGAAAATATAAATATAGAGGAGGCTTCCAGATGCCTGGTGAAACACATAATTGCCAGTGAGAGTGATCTAATGCAGCCTATTGAACCAGATATTATAAAACCACACCTGAATTCTACTAAGATCGTCAGTTGTTCAGCTTGCTTTAAATCCTAAGAGACTCCCAGACCATTGCTGAGCAAATAGATAACAATGAATAATTTATCCCAAACACACAACCTGTTTTTGTGCTCACAGGTTATCCATGAGCAGATAGCATTTTTTTCAAATGTATGTGTTATTTAAAAGTATCCAATGGTTTTTGTTTGTTTGTTTTTTGTGGGGTTTTTTTTGACTCTTTGGATTGATTGTGAATAGTTCACTTTGTCAGTAACTATTCATATTGTCTTGGTCATTTGTGATTAGTCAGATAAGTCATATTATGTTGTTCCTACTCCCTGATTAAATGAGTGAGCAAAAATTGCTGGGGCAAGTCTTTTTAAAATGTGTTTAGAACATAAAAATGGCTATACTGGGTCAGACCAATGGTCCACCTAGCCTACTGATCTGTCTTCTGACAGTAGCCAGTGCCAAATGCTTTTTAAAAAAGTCAACAGAACAGGGAAATTTCAAGTAATCTATTCTCTGTCATCCACTCCAATTTTCTGGCAGTCAGAGGCTTATGAAAACCCAAACAATGGGTTGTATCTCTGATCATCTTTGTTAATAGCCATTGATGGCCCTATTCTCCATGCATTTACCTAATTTTTGTTTGAAACCGATTATGCTTTTTTAGGTCTTTACAAATTTCCCTGGAAATGAGCCCACGGGTTGACTGCATTGTGTGAAGTACTTCCTTGTGTTCTTTTTAAGTCTGCTGCCTATTAATTTTAATGGGTGACCCCTGGTTCTTATCTTATGGAAAGGCTTCCCTAATCACTTTCTCCATACCATTCTTCTCTTTATAGACCTCTGTTACATTACTCCTGCCCCCTACACACACACTTCATTGTCTCTTTTCTAAGATGAGCAGTCACAGTCTTTTTAATCTCTCCTTGGTTATTACAAGTGCTTATAAGACTTGGAAATTTGTTTTCTGATCATATTTTTCTAGTAAAATTCAAATGTATGAAAGCTCAGAGAAAGTAAAAAAACAAAAGGCATTGAGAGAGACTATTTATAGGATGTTTTTGCAGTATTTACATAACTCTCTTGGGTACCTATTCAAACACAACTAGAGCACATGAAATCTGAATTGTGGCCATGGGGTCCAGTGCATAGAGCCTGGATTTTATTCCTTTTGTTTGTTCTTGGGGAAGGTGCTTCTGTTTTCCATCTCATCCTTTGCCTGTCTCATTAAGTGGTAAGCTCTTTGGGGCAGGGACTGTCTCTTACAATTCGTTTGTACAGTGCCCAACACAATGGGGTCCTAATCTGAACTGGGGCAGTTAGGGTATGTCTACACTACCCCGCTAGTTCGAACTAGCGGGGGTAATGTAGTCATCCACAGTTGCAAATGAAGCCCGGGATTTGAATTTCCCGGGCTTCATTTGCATGAAGCCGGCCGGCGCCATTTTTAAATGCTGGCTAGTTCGGACCCCGTGCCGTGTGGCTACACGCGGCACGGACTAGCTAGTTCGGATTAGGCTTCTAATCCGAACTAGCTGTACACCTCATTCCACGAGGCGTACAGCTAGTTCGGATTAGAAGCCTAATCCGAACTAGCTAGTCCGTGCCGCGTGTAGCCGCGCGGCACGGGGTCCGAACTAACCGGCATATAAAAATGGCGCCAGCCGGCTTCATGCAAATGAAGCCCGGGAAATTCAAATCCCGGGCTTCATTTGCAACTGTGGATGACTACATTACCCCCGCTAGTTCGAACTAGTGGGGTAGTGTAGACATACCCTGAGATACTCGGGGTTGAACCTCTCTAAACATCTCAACCTCTAGGACTCAGATCCAGACTCCCTGGGATTTAGGGCAAGTCTTACATTAAAGGGGAAGTTTGAATTAAGATCCATAACTCCAGCTATGTCAATTACATTAATTCGAGTTTCCACTCTGACTCCACAGCAGTCATTACCTTTCCTTACTCTTCACGAGTAAGAGCAGTACTGGCACCAACTGGGGCCCTCTCTAAGTCTTTCTTAGACTCACTAAATGAAACTCTGGAAGATCGATAGTGACAGTGTTAATCTTCCACTTAGTGAAGACATGGCCTTATCTGCCTAAATACTTTCTGAGACTCAGTGTTTTAGTTATGGAACTAAATGCCTCATTGGGACCAGAGATGTCTGGTGTCTTGCTTTCCCAGAAATTAATATGTATGAGATTGTTGAACTAAACTGTGTTGTAAGTAGGTCTCAAAGGGACTAATGTGCTTTATCTGTCCTCATCTTCACTTGTCCACAGCAGATTCTAATCAATGCTCCTGAAACAGAAATGGAGGCCCACGTGAGAGCTTTGCCTAACCAAAGAACAGAATATTTCCTTGTTAAAAAGAAACAAAAATAAAACATTGAGAAACAAATCTCTTTCCTTTAACTTACTGTATCAATGTCTGGTAAGCTCTCCACTGCCCATCCTTTGTTCAGCCCTGTGTTTTTTTATAACAACCAAAGATTGTCCATTATCTCATATATCAGAGCCGAATTCTTCCCTGACTCTCTCTGGATTGCAGGAGATGTATGTCAGTTCTGTGGTCTTAAGTAGTTCCGCTTTGTTATGCTGTACGAAAACACTGCAATGCAGTGAAGAATCAGATCCCTTTAAGGTATGTAAAGATCACATCATTCCAGATTTTTTCCTGATGACTGTGCACTGTTTTTATTTTACTGAGATGATGAGACACTTACAATAAACCAGAAATGCACAAACACTACTAGGGTAAACAGAGATTCTGCATGCTGAGAGGATGTCAGCACTTCAGAGAGAATGCTCTCTAATTTAATATGAATGTGATCGTGTTTTGACTAGATCCTGTCTGGACAGAGCATGAAATTTAGTTTTATTATTTCAATCCCTGATTGGATGGGATTTTCTTTCATGTTACTGATATATTTGGTATTATCTTGTCCTCTCTAGTATTGGGGAGTGAGCTTTTGAATTCCATGGGTATTGCAAGGCAAAAAGGCTTTTTCGCTAAACTTCTGGAAAGCCCTGCTATAAGAAATGAAAGTTGGGCATTGTGTAGTTATTGTCATCTGTGCAAAATGGGTTTAAAAAGATACCAGAATATAATTTGCCACTCACATCACACTGTTAGCTTTTTACAGTACAAATGAGCATACAAATTGCTAGGCAGAGGAAAATAAGGCTTGACATCTCTCAATAGAGAAGTTTCTCTTTTTTTCAGAATTTTGGAAAGATTTTGATATTTTAGTGCCAGACTTTGCAAATTTCTCCCATCCAAAATGTGCCCAGAGGAATAACTATGGTTATGTTATTTTTGCATTTTGACGTTGCATTGTATCTTCAATGTTTTGTACAACCAGGATCTAACTGATTCTTATATGCTCTGGGAGAAGCATGTAAATATTATTAACCCCACTTTTCAGAGGGGGAAATTTACACACAGAAAGGCAAATTTGGCTCTCTTACACCTGACTAAGTATAGTGAATTTGATGGGGTGAACTCCCATGGAAGCAGCAGATATTTGACTACTCTTAAAAATCAGGCATCATTCTTCTTATGTATTAATATTGAAGAGAACAAAGTTGTCCTTAACTTTTTCAAATCAGAAATTAGCTTATTCCCAACAATACAAAGTTGGGCCATCATGTCCTTTGTGTACATATCTTCAATTGTCTGCATAGCTGACGCTTTGTTTCTGGAGCCCATTGTTTCTGGTTTAAATCTATAACTAATTGGGCTTTTCTTTTCTTTTCTTTTCTTTTCTTTTCTTTTCTTTTCTTTTCTTTTCTTTTCTTTTCTTTTCTTTTGTTGGAGTTGGGTTGCCCACAGTTTTTTAAAGAAACTTGTCTACCTTAATTAAATATAAATGGCAAATATATTTGAATGCAGTAAAATGTAATTTATATTAATTGCTGGGAAATAGTTAATGCAAAATACATTCAGTGCACTTGCATTTAAGCATATGACAAAGGTTCTTATGGTGATAATAATAATAAAAACCATTTCTGGCCGAACACAGAGTAATGTATGTTCTCTAAAATTAACCAGACAAAATAAATGTAAATGAATCATTTTTTTAACCATATTTAAATTCAGCTACTCTCATGCAACACTTCTCTGCTTCATTACTTTCTTTTTAGAATTGTTTCCTTTGGACTGTCATTTGTTTTAACACACTATATATAACATTCCTTAAACTTTTAAGTTGAGTGTTTGGCATTAATAAAAATATTATACATTTGAGAAAGAAGCGTTTCCTTTCCCCTTTCCCTTCACACCCTAATTAATCTTTTCCGTTTTAAAGAGGAAGTTTAAGCCCGTGATTTCTGAAATGGATTCAGTTCAGTTTCTGATTTTAAAGTCATACTTTTGGGCCCATAATAAATTAATCTGAACTGAGCATGTAGTTATGGAACTCAGAACGGTAACAAACTGCCTGTGCTTGCAAATGAGGTAGTTATCAACTGGACCCATCATTAATTCTGAATGCACAACTGTGTTTGCAGCATAGTTACCTATCCCAATCATACAAAAATGAGTAAAAAATGAGTTAACTCTCAAATATGAGGTTGACTAAAAAAAATCACAAGTATTTTAAATAATAAATTTGAAGGAGTTGCTTTTGGTTTTTGCATCCTTTAAAATTTCTGTTCTCAAGCTTGTTGCAGCCATGAGGGTTAGAGATATTGGAGTTTTTTAATAAAAACTGAGATTCCCACATAACATGACTCCAGAAGCTGGAGAAACAGCAAATATTGGAAGATTTGTCATAAAACCACAACATATGGCAAGAGTTCTGCAGTATTAGTGTGAATCTCAAAATCAGACATGAGCCCCATTGAATAATTTGGGAATATTAATTTGATGAAAACAACAGTCATCTTATTAGCAACTTCAGCACATAAAGCACCCAAAGTTTACATTCTTTTTATGTTTTGATTCTTGGAATATCAGTTTATAAAGATAAGGAGTTAACCCTAGCAGAGCTACAGAGTCACAGCTAATCTGATGAACATGCCCTGGTAGACTTGTCTGCAGTTCAACAGCAACAGAAAGTTATGTTCAAACAGCTCTGTGGTTCTCTATAGAAGATGAATTGGGGAGAGGTCACAGTCCAATTCTTGGAGGGCTGGATTTGACACCAACAAAAAATACTATGATTACTACATGAACCTTGGTTATTCAAGGATTAAATGGACATAAAACTCATACTCTCTTTCCTCTGGAAATGTGTAAGGTTTTATCACCCTGTGCCTTTATTTATACAGGCAGTCCCTGAGTTACGCGGATCCAACTTATGTCGGATCCGCACTTACGAACGGGGCTTTCTTGCCCCGGAGCTCGCAGGCAGCGGGACCGCCCAGAGCGCAGCGGTCCCGCCACCTCGACCTCCGGGGCGAGAAAAGCTGCTCCAGGTGCCTCTGGTCTGCTGGGGACTGTCTCCAGCAGACCAGGGACACCGGGAGCAAAGCCGGGGAGGCAGAGGGGTCCCGCGCCTCTGAGGCTTTGCTCTGGCAAAGCCTCAGAGGTGTGGGACTCCACCACCACTGCCGCTTTGCTCCC